CTCTGGGCTAGGGTAGGAATCTTCGACTTTATCTGCCTGAAAGACTGGACGTTCTTGATTTACAAAGGTCCACATCATTTAGGATCAACAACGACCAGGGTCACGAGGAATCTTCAGACGTGGCCGCTATCCACGGTGCACACTGGTTCATTGGTGCAAAAACCTATTACCGCAGACTCCAGGCTTCTCCCCGACTTTTCACCACTGAATGATGGAAATGACGGCAACCGTTTGGATCCTTATCGCAAAGCTAGTTCGAAGAATGAGCATGAAATGTGGCTCAATGGCATCAAGAGTCGAGGACATGGGCTGTTCAACATCGAATGACACTAAGTTTCGGGAGGAGCCCAATGATCAACCGACATCGAACAAGCCCAACCCATTCCAAGTTGGTGCTGAACGAAGTACGGCCAGGCCGTTGATTACCCGACTGTCTCAAAGGGGGCATATTCCTCGGGGCAAGGGGCATGGAATCGAGTTCAAGCCCTTCCTTTCAGCCTTAAACCTTGCGGTTGTGATAGGTTTCTCATGAAGAGGAAGAAAAAGGTTCAGAATCCTTCGGGTGGTTTAAGATGACCGCATACCCACTCCCCCTCCAATGAGGAAGCACACCATCGACCAAGGACCAGCCCACAGCCCTGTATCCGTAACGGTTGGAAATCCCACAGGGCTGTTAGCTTCCGTTCCTCGTCCACCCTTCGGAGCCGGAGCTGTCCAGTTAAACCTACCGACGAGGGTTTCTGGTCACCGAGTCGGCGACGTTATGGAGCTCGCTGGGGACAGCCTGGGACCGTGGACGGCCGGGGGGCTGCCCCTCCCCCTTCATCTTCTTTTCCCCCATCCGCGCGCGGCAACTTGCACGTTGAACGTGTCACACAGACACCCAGCGATCTGACACCCACGCGGGGCGGCGTAGTTATCCGATCAACGTTTGCCGACCTTACCTTAGCTACCTTAGTAGTTCTAGACCTTGCCAGACCACGTCTTTCAACGGCGGCGCAGTCAGGAACATGTGCAACACAGCCACGGCCCCCAAAAGGTTTCGAAGCTTTCAATAGGATCGTTTCTACAAATGCCCAGCCAGCGCTTAGAGAAAGTTGAACTCATCGATAGCTTGAACCGAATGTTATGTAATGATTATGATGCCGTGATCTAGCCGTCATCGATTCACGATTCACTGCTGCCTGGCTCAACCCCCCCGAACCAGGGCGGCTTTTGATTGACTTCGACAACCAAACAGCCCCCCCATGTTGCACTCAGTCAAGGGGTCTGAACTCCTGGCACCCATGCGTGCCATGCCGCCAACTCGTGCTAACGGGTGGCGGTGCGCATTTCCCGATGTTTCCAATTCCTCGATTTCCTTCTGGTCGAGTTCTCCTCACTTCGTTTTGACTTCATAGCTTGGAGATAACGCCCCACGATTAATCCTCCACGAACCCCCCTTCCTGTCAATTTCCCAATCTGTCAACTTGCCTGACAAGACCAACTTTCAAATTTTTGACTTGCAGAAGGATTCACCCTACCTTCTTCTTCTTCTCTTCTTCTTCTTTTTCTGCCCGTTCCTCATAAGAGATAGACCAGGGTTATTACGGATGATGTAAAAGCGTTTTTAGGCAGCAATAATACATCGTTCCTTCGAGCGCTTACAAGGTTACAACAAAGAGAGAAAGGAGAAGTACAGCAACATCAATCTTGTGTAATAACCACTGCTGCTGCCCGCCAAGTGTTCCAATTCTGGAAATGCGAGAGACTACAACTCGGCGACCTCGCATCTATACAAAGACAATATAGCGGGAAACACACAATCTCCGAGACCCGAGTACCCGGAAACCCCAATAATCCCTTCCTTGGAGGCACTTTTGTCTTCTCACCCCTCAGCCTCTTACTTACAACAAAGGTCCAACAAAACTCCGGCCCTGATGCCCTCTCCCGGTCCCCAGATTCTCACCTTTGCGCTCGAGAACTGGCCTCACAACTCTGGGCCTACCACCAGGGCTAGTAAGCCCAAAGTCCGGACGGGATGCGTCACATGCAAGTAAGTCATCTTACGCACATCAAATCGGATTCCCATCTCTTCTTAACGCACTAACACTCTCGTCCAGACGGCGCAGGATAAAATGTGACGAGACAAAGCCATCATGTCAAAATTGTCTCAAGCGGCGGGTGGAATGTGAGGGGTACAAACCCAAATCGCCAAACGCCTCCTCCTCTCCCGGCGCAGCATCAAAACAGCTCGTCGCAATCACCAGCCCCAAGGGCGGCTCCTCCCCCTTCTCCGTCGAGCCGAGCTACCAGAGCCTCGTCTTCACAACACAGCTCCAAAAGGACCATTTTGACCAATGGCTCTCCTTCGCCGCGGACACCCTCGTCTTCCCCTCCCAGCTCATCACCGAGACCATCCCGCAGATAGCCCGCTCCGACCTGGCCGTCCGCAACGCCGCCTTCGCCATCGGCGCTGCCGCCCTTGGCAGCGGCACCCGCGAGGAGCGTCTCACGGGTAGAGGCCCCTACTTCGCCGACGCGCTCGAGTACTACAACCGCGCGCTGCAGCTGACCGTCAAATCCCCGCCCACTGAGGAGACCTTCCCCAGCGTCCTCATGACATGTCTGCTCTTCGTCATGTTCGAGGCCCTCCACGGCGACAGGAGGTCCGCGTTAACGCACCTCAACCACGGCTACAACATCCTCGACCAGTACGAGAAGCGCCGGTCGAGGAAGATGAAGACGACGAAACAGGCATCCCGCCGCGACCCCTTAGTCGACGCCATCGCCACAAACTTCCAGCGCCTGACGCTCCAGTCGTGGAGCCACAACGGCGACCACCCAAAGGAGACGGAGAAGCAGGTCCCCTGGTGCTGCCGCGGCCAAGGTACCTCGCGCTACGCCGTCGACGAGATGCCGGACACTTTCGACTCGCTCGACGAGGCGCACCGCTGGTGGGAGGTCACCCAGCACCACGTCATCCACCACGCGCCCCTCATCATCGGCTTCCGCGTCGAGGGCACGGGCAACAAGGCGCCGTCGTTCCCGCCCAACGTCAGCCTGCCCATCAACCCGGAGCAAGTAAAAGCGCACGACCGCTACGTCCAAGCCTGGCGCGCGCGCTTCTCGCCCCTCCTCGAAGCAGCGCAGGAGAAGAAGGAGAAGCAGGCGAAAGGAGAAGGAGAAGAAGCAAAGTGCGATACGAGAGAGTACCTCAAGGTCCTGGGCCTGCGCATCCACTCCACCTACCTCTCGATCCCGATCCGGACGGCAAACTACTGCGACACGGACGAGCTGGCGGCCATGACGCCCAGCTTCCGGCTCTATGTCGACCTGAGCAAAGAGTTCCTCGAGCTCCAGCAGCGCCTGCTCAACGCCTCGGGCGAGATGTTCACAATGGACAGCAACAGCCCGACCTGGCCCCTCGGCGCGGCGACGATGCTCTGCATGGACGAGACGGTGCGGGCCGACGCGATGAGGCTGTTCCGGGAGTACCCGCGCCGCGACGGGCTGTGGGACACGCAGACGTGGCTGAGCATGCTGGAGAGCTACAAGGAGGCCAACCAGACTATCGTGAAACAGGTTGGCGAGCGGGAGTCGCAGCACATGTTTGATGTCGAGGTTGTGTATGAGGATAAGTCTGTGGTGTGGATTAAGCAGGTGGAGGATCCTACGAGCGTGAGCCCGGATGAGTTGAAGTACAGGATCAATCTCCCTTGAGGGGGGTAATAAATGAGTCAAATGAATGTTGATGCGCCATGTATGAGATTGTGATGCCATGGCAGCCAGATTTTAACCGGTATTGATATTTTTAAAGGTTTTACAGCGAGTAAGTGATACCTGCCTACAGAAGATGGGTTCACATTATTTCTGACAACTCATTCCCGGCTTGTGAAAGCAGGGAGGGCGAAATAGTCGCGTGGGATGCCGACTGAAATCTCCATCCTGGGCAAAGACGCCGAATGCAAAGTCGTATAAATACCAGCAACCCATGCTACTAAGTAAGATATAGCACAGTCTCGTGATCTACCTTTTGCCAGGCTTTCATGAAAGGCTCTCAGGCAATAGGGTGCCATACTCAAGTCGCAGAAGGTGTATAGCAAGTGGTAGGCATCCTATCACAACGAAGGGGACATAGGCCGACTCTGTCCACATCACGAATCCCCTTTGTCTCCATTTCCAATGCGGCGCTTATTCTAACCAGAACACCCGTAAGATAAACCCGCTGGCCGAAGAGAGATGAAGTCTCTTGTAGAGATGGAGGACTTCACAGTCAACAAACAGTCGGGCCAATGCCCATTTGCATTGTGGTCCCCCACGTCCACTCTCACTCCCGAGTGGTTGCCAGAACGGGCTTCCGAGCCACGTTGCTGCTGCTAGAATAAACATCTCCAATTGCAGTCACACAATATTTATACAAGAGACCTACGTATCAGGCACGCCGTCAGTCCTCCAGCGCTCGTTACGAGCCTCAGTCAGCCAGCCAGCCTCGCTCGAGTGGTATACATCACAGCCACGAGCTCCTATCGATTCTATCGAAGAACACTACATCATAAACTGCAGGACGTGACTTGGTCAAAAGACTTTTTATTCATAACCCTCCTCCACGCCTCTATCCACCGAGGCAGATATCATTATCGATCTATGAAAAAAGGGGGGTTGCCATTATCCTGTCGAGGCCGCTAATCTCCAAATATGAAAGATGCTCTTTTTTTCAGGGGGGTGTCATGTCCATGAAGCAACCAACGCAAATTACACAAAACTGCTTTTTTTCTGATGCTGAAAGCCTCTTGAGAAAATCAACAACCAAGTCTCCCCTAAATGGACGTAATCGTAAATGCCGCTGTGTTCTCCTTTTCTTTTTATCCAGATTCAAATCAACAAGCACCTGCAATAGCTTGGTGGAAACGCAGGTATCGACCGTGCGTGAAGGCCAAGAAAATGTTGCCCAACCAAACGCATACGCACACAGTATTATGAGGGTATAAATACAGGTCTCTCATCCCATATACCGGGCATGAAAGACCTCAAGGCAAGTAGCAAATCGCTTAGAAGAACTTGCCCTTCTTCTTCTTGGTCGTCTTCTTATCCTCGCCTCCGCCTCCGAGAATGTCGTCAAAGGTCATGGTAGACGTGGCGGGATCGTGGGTGTGGTCAACAGACATGTTGCGCAAGTTTGTGGCAGAGGGTGAGCGCGGCATAACCATGCTCAGAGGACGGGAACCGGCCGAGCTGCTTCGCGCGCTGCCGACGCGCGAGTTGCGGTCGCCAGGCAGACCCTCATCAAACGGAACGGGTTCGAGGCCGAAGATCATGCTGGAACGGTGCGCGGCATTGCGGCTGCCAAGCTGACGTCCGCCTGGCGAAGCATTACGCGGCCGGAGATGGGACTGTGGAGACCCAGGTGTGGGCGGGGTGCCACTTGTTCCGAGGGCCGGGGGGCTGCCGACGATACCATCCGGACCAGGGAAAACAGGCCGGGGCGGTTCCAGAGGAGACATGCCAGCGTCTTGTGGGGGTGGGGCGTCCGCGCCGGACAGTCCTTCCCACTCCTTGGCCGCGAGCCAGCAGTGGCTGCGGTGGTAGACAGCCTCCACACTGAACAGCACACTGTCGGCCGAGAGCTCGACATAGCCATTACCGCCAGAGACTTCGTACCACATCTTGCGAACCTGGCGAGCATCCTCGACCCAAGGGAGGTTACCCATAGGCGGCTCACAGAGGAAGTACTCGACGCCCTCGTTGAACTTGAGGTTCGGCGCGTCGACCACGAGCATGGGCAGCGACTGGATGACGACGTAGAGGAAGAGCCAGTAGCCGATGCGCTGATCAGCAAGGTCTGCCGCGTTCTTTCCCTTTGCCTCATGCTGCTCAAACTCCTTGAACTCCATGAGGAAGGGAATGTTCACGCTGTTGGCGTCCCAATTGTACGCCTTTTGAATGACCAGCGTCAACTCGTGCTCCTTGATCTTTCTGTCAAACTTGGCTTGCTCCTTGACTGACAGGTTATCGTAAGTAGCGAGAATGGACGTCATTGTGGGCAACTTGGGAACATCGAATGGAATCGGGGGCAGTACGGGAGGCGTAGAGTTGTCGAATTCGGTGAGCATCTTGCGCAGATTAACGATTGAGAGAGGATCCGTGGATTTGGCAGAATCTTCATCAGTATTTCCATCCATCACTCTGGTGGTGATGTTTTCGCGATCAACCAGAAGATCGTAAAGCGCGGTCATGTCAGAGTAGAGCGCCTTCAACACCAAACGGTTGAGACCACTCTCAGAGAATGGGTTCTTCTTGCTGCTAGCCTTGGGGGGCCAGGCACCAAAGTTGGTCTTGTAGTACCCCATGACGAACTGCTTCATCTTGTTGAAATACTTCTCCCACACCTTGAAGCGGACAGCCTTGAGTCCAGGGTCTGACGTAGAGCTGGCGATACCTGCGAATAATGAGGGGAACTCGAACCGCTCCAGTCTAATGTTGACATTGTGTTGGCGGTTGACGAGATCCAGATGTGCGCGCTCCAGTCGTTGTCTGGTGTACAGTGATACCTGCTCGAATAGAGGAGAGTTCAAGTCGAGGATGGCGGTGTACTTGCCGACGGCGTGCGCGAAAGCCTCGTTGTACAAGTCCATTGATTTCATGCTCTCACCCAGAATCAATGACTCGAGCGTCTTCTCGCGGCTGTGACGAACATCTGCGAGCGACAATTGTTCCATGAAGAAACCGAAGCTGAGGTCGACAGCCTCGCCGAAAGACTGCCCATCCGCGTTGGTGAAGCCGTACTCCTTCAGCAACTTGGAGATCTGCAGGAAGGCGGCAAAGGTGGTAGGATGCGCCTTAGTGGCCACCAGAGGCTGGCCGGTCAAGAATGCAAAGAGGTTGCGAATTGCGATTGCGCGGTCGACTTCGGCACGGAGCTGTGGTCCCGGCGCGGCGAGACCATTTCCGGGTTGCGTGTATTGTGGGGGCGTCGCCGGCAGATACAACTTCAATTCGCCTTCGCCAGGGCTCTCTGGGTCTTCTGCAGGAGGCGAGCCGGACCCAGAAATGGTCGCCCGAACAAGCGCATCGTCGACGGACAGACTACCCCCGAAACTCCTACCCCGGCTCCGTCCCGATGGTGAGGACATTTCAGCTTGAATGAGCTCGTTAAAGATGACCGAGTTGATGATGGAGAAGCTTGGAACCTTGAAGGAAGGTCCAGCATTGCTGCTTCTGGGTTGGAGGTAAACGTAGACATTGCCGTTTTCGTTCCACAATTCCGGGACCTGCAAGTGAATTAGTCTCTCCGTCCGATGTGCTGCGGTACGTGGCAGGAAGCTTACCTTTTCAGCATTCAGCAAGAACGAAGTGTTGTATTCGCCAGGCGTGTCAGGCGACAAGACCCATGCCTGTGAGTTCTTCACGGCCGCGGAAACGTCGTGCGAGTTCGACCTTGATCTGCCGCCACCTGGCAGCCAAGATCTGCGCAAGCGTCCACGTCTCTCATCGCGGGTCGGGCTGTGGCTCTCGTTCGACCCGGTGTGGTGTGAGCTTCCAGTGTCGGTTCTGGCTCCGGGTGGGTGTGCAGAGGTGCTTCTGCCCCGTGCATCTGGCGAAGGCGCGCGAACGCCCAGCATAGGGAATGCGGATTTTCGGTTTTCGAGGAAGGAGCTGCTTCGCTTCCTAGGCTCGGCGGCGTTTTCCTTCTTCAGTTTCGCGGGTGAGGTCGCCTCTGGGTGAGAAACAGCTCTGGGCGAAGGAGCATCATTGGTGTGTGATACTGCAGGAGGCGTTGGCAAGTTCTTCTCCTTGCGCAGCTTGGCGGGAATTGGCGGAGGCGCCTCAGAAGGCGGCAACGGTGCGGCCATGTTTGGTGTCGTAGGTGTTGGAGGTTGAGGAGGAGAGACCAGAGGCTGATCGGCAGCGGGGGATGATATTATCGAAGAGTCTAGAGGTGCGGGGGCGATTTTTCTAGGAATAGGAGGCGGTGCATCAGAGGGAGCAGCCGGAGGAGGTGGGTCGAGGGATTCAGATGCCGCAGGAGCAATTCCGAGACCCAGGCCGGAGCTCGTCACAGGTCTCACGGTGGGATGCTCAGCCGTGTGGTAGGAGGGCGCGCTGTCGGATGGAGACGAGGCAGGAGGAGTGTCGTCGGGGAGCGGCTTGCGGTGAATCGGTACTTGGTGTTGTTGCTGCAGCTGAGGCTGGGCAGGCGGTGATTGAGTCTGAGGCTGATCTGTGGGTTGGATGATGAGCGAGGGAAACAGAGCAGACAGACGGTTGCCCCAAGATCGGGACTTTCTGTTGTTGGGAGGTCGAGTGGGAGCGAGCACTGGCTCGGAGGGCTTCTCCTTCTCTTCAAGCGTCACGTTCAAGGTTCCGGCATTGATTTTCGCAGCTGTCGTTGGCGAGTTGACGGTAGTATCAGTCTGTGATCGTTTCGGGGATGCGGGACGCTGCGGGCGGGAGGACGTGTAACCGTTGGCGTTGACGACGGCGGCGTCTCCGTGGGTAGCTTGGTCGTGTACAGGCTCGGATACGCTGTGATGCCTTTCGCGGCGTGATTTGGGCGAGACGGGGTTGGTGAGGTTGACTTGTGAAGAAGAGAAGGAGAAATGGCTTAAAGAAGACTTAAGAGAGGCGCGAGAGACCGACAACTTACTCGACGTCATGCTGGGCATGATTTGCAGCCGAGCCGTCTTTCAGTCTTGCTAAGTCTAGTCCTTGTCTGGATCTGGCGTGAATGTCACCTCGCTGCGGCGCAAGTAGGAGAAACGTGTGGTGGTAGTACAGTAAGGTAGGAGCTGAAGGAGCGATCTCGCAACCAACAACTAACTAGTCTTTTTTTTTTTCCTCCCGTTTCTTTGCGCAAGCAGCAGGAATGGAAACAAACAGTTCAGTCCAGACCAGAAATAGCAAAGCAGACTTCCAGGTAGCAGGAGGGAACGGCGGGCGGAGGCGGCTATTATGAATACAAACAAAGGGCGGGAGAACAAGCCAAGAGACGGCGACTGCGGGACTGAGACCTAGTTCCTTGTGAGAGACGTAGAGAGAAGAGTGGGAATATGGAATGGAATGGCGTGCACAAGCCCATCCATGTACGAGCTACCTAGACCATGAACATTGCTCGGGTCTAGTGTAAGAGGTAAGACACAAGACACCGGATCCCTGGAAAGAAAGTTTCTGGGATGGTGCGGATACACAGAGCGAGCGAGTTAAGGTCGGTAAGGTACGGAAAGGTATGGCAAGACAGGCCAGGACGGGACCAGGAAGAGAGACTTCAGGACGACGAGGATGAGGGCGAGAAGAGGGGACGACGGGCTCGGGTTGACGAGGGGAGGGGTGTCGAGGGAGTGGAGGTTTACCTGGTGCTGGCCAAGTCAGGTCAGGTCAGGTCAGGTTAGATCCAGTTGTCTGTCTGTCTGTACGGATGTGTCTGCCCGTGTGAGGCTTTGCTCGGGATGGCGCGTTGTGCTGTGCAAGTGCTGCGCTTTTTCCTCAGCCGTTGGTGCTGGCGGTGGATGGGAAACGGGGCCGTTACGTGTTTAGCAGAGTCGGTTGAAAGTGAAGAGTACGTAAGTTGGTGAGGTGAGGAAAACAGAATAAGAGCGCAGGGCCAAAGCTAGGAGAGAAAACGGTGCTGGGAGGGACAGGGTACGTAAGGCGTTCTGACTTCTGAGGTACCTTACCTTATTCATACGGAGTAGGGAAGGTGGAAAGTACCTCTCTTCAAGTCTCTTTTTCTTCTCTTTCCTTCTCTCTTTCTGGGGAAGTCTGACCATTGATGGGCGACGGATGTGGATGACATACTCCGTACTGCGTAATGTACCTTACCTTGCACTACCTATTTCCACGGCGCGGCGACAAGAGGAGCCCGACTGGTGCCTTTTTCTCTCTCTTCTGCTGCTGCTTCCATTCTTTCAGAGTCTCTTCCAGGTTGGTTGTCACTCTGATTTTTACGATGGGTCCAACGCGGTAAATCCGCAGCAGCGGCGTTGGCGGTTCTTCGTCCCTTTGGAGCACTGTGCATGCGGCATGCCCCACTTGGCTCACCTCACATCCTCCGTTCATCCCTCCTCCAAAACGGTACGTACCTCCTCCTCCATGTACCTCTGTACCTTCATCCCTCCTTCCCTCCCTCCTTGAGTCGAGGTCCCTCCTTCCATCTCACGGTACACGTATTGAGGGCCCCCAAGACCAGTCTTTGCGTGGCGTTCTGGGTGTGTAAAGGCAGGGAGATGGTCACTCATCCGACTGAGGGATGACGTTTTGGGGTGCGGAGCGGAGACAGCAGACTTGGACGGATGGAAAGAGTGCACACCAAAAGAAAAAGGCACCACTCATATGAGGTCGGGTGGTCTCCAAGAAGTACATCGTAAAGTACCTCGGACGGTAGGTAAGGAAAGGGGGCGGCAGCAAGCACAAGTTACGACGGGTCAACGGCAGAAAAGCCATGTAACAGTACAGTAATCGCAATTTGGATCGACAGATCTGGGGCCGGCGGGCACAGAGGACGTGTCGCCGTTTGAGGCTGGGCTTGCTCCAAGATGAAATTTCCCGACAGACGGAGGAGCCAGGACTCTCATTCTCAGAACTTTTAAGGACTCTCTGAATGAAGGGGAGACGTCTGCTCCATCTCATCAAGCCCCATGTCCCTCACTTCCTCCAGCTCGGCTCAGCTCAGGCTCATCTCATCTCAATTCACCAAGCTGCAAGCCTGCAAAGCCTAGGGCAGGCTCATTCTTGCATTAGCCCAGCATGGACTAGCCTGGGGTGGTTGGTCCCTCAACTCCCGGAACTGCGAGCTGGGCGCCGGCATCCACGGTAGTCGTGGAGGTAGCGCCATGCAATTGCCATGGGCCCTTTGATTTTTTTTTATTTTCTTTTTATTTTATTCGCCCCTCGCGCATCATCATCACTCATCTTGCCCGGTTCCATTTCTTTGGCGGAGAAAGACCTTACCTTTCCACTTCGTATACGGAGGAGCACTCCTGTGATTGTGTGCGAGAATTGGAAAGCCTCCCCTTCTTGAGGTGAGAGTGTGGGTGTAACTGGATCTGTACCACCTGATCGGTGAAATTGGGTAGTTCGTATGGGACAACGGGACTGTGCTGCATTGAATTCGTACCTACATATCCGTACGGGATCCAGTAGTATAAGTTGAGGCGATAGCGAAACCGGGTCGGGCCACATGAGCGCTGTGTGTCTTTGCGCATACTGTGGTACTGTGTACGAATAGTGTCAATGGCTGTGTATGCGTGTCCGCTGATGCACACTCTTCGGGGTTTTTTCTTTCTTTCCTGCAGATTCCAGACTCTCAAAAAGTCAAGAGGTCGAGGTCCGGTGCTACGCTGGCCCAGCTCGGGGTTGCAGCCAGACCTGCGATTGGACCCGACCCCGAGAAACCGGAAACACGGGGTCCTGCCAGTGCCCTTTCTCAGGCGTCGCGTACCGTTGCAACGAAATGCCCGGACTGCCGAGCGGACGCGTGCTTTGTGGCGTACGAAACGGAGTCTATTTTCTCGTGCTTTGTGTGTCTGTTGTTCTCGTTTTTGTTTCGCTATTCTCATGCTTCAATGTAGAGCAAACTCTCGGAGAATAGGTAGAACGGTAAACATTGTTGTTCATGTTCGCCTTTCTTCCACAACTTTGCTTATTCTTAGTTGCTGCTGGTGACGGGGCATGTACATAAAACTTTCCCCTCAATCCCAATGTTAATGCCACTGAGCTCGGATGACCCCCGGACAGCGGCTCTCTTGGCTTATTGGACCCAAGCAAATGGCTCATTGGCGTCTGCAAGCCTACGGATACCTGGATCACCATTAGCCGTCTGCCATGTCGGAGAGAGTCAGGGGAGGGGAAGATCAAGAAACAACCAAACCGTGTCAACCAAGGTCAACCAAGCTTGTGCTTTGCTTGATTGGAGGGCAAAGTGCTGTAAAGCCGAGCATGCCAGGCCGAGGATCAGACAGGTATTTCTTCTCCCTCTAGAACATCATGTACTCCAGATCTCACCATAGCAAGCTAACTGTCTCTCTGTTGACTGAAGACCATTGTCTGGTTGGCAGGGCAGGGCAGGCGAGCTGGCGGTAAGGCGCGCCGCGGGGTTGTCTCTTCCCAGCTGATGTCAAATTGAACATGGTCATTTAATTCATGTGTGAGGATAAATGAATTGGTGTTTTGGAAATCGAAAAGCAGCTATGTGACTCGTGAATCGATTTGGAGGTTGATACTGCCACTTTGCATCTGACGCCTTCTCTTCTAAGCCTGACGTACATTTTGAGCGGGAAGGCAGAGAGGTGGTCAGCTCGGGTCCTGCCACGTCTGACCTTGATGGTTCCTTCCGTCTCATCAACGGTACGTACAATTGGCTTCCGTCCTTTTCTCATCCTTCCCAGGTTCCCAGCACTGAGATTCTGCCTAGGAAGGAACATGTTCGCCATCCAACGCCTGAGATACCTTCCCACCATCATCCAAGGTTGGCACCTGCACTCCTGGTGACGTGATGGGAATTAAACGACACATCGCGCCTGGCTGAAGGGCAGCTTGTTCAGCGTCTTTCATCATCCGGTTTTTCACATGAGATTCGAGGCTTTCTTCTTGAAGTATCATGCTGCATACACATCACCCTTTACGTACTTTGACGCCAGCCATTGGACGACGTGGTGCCGATCTTGCTATTCCGTCTGATCCTGCTGACCTGGATCTCGTCTCTCAACATTGTGATTACGCCCTCTCGATCATCGCATCTGTTTGCAGCTCAGTTCCTGCAGCAACGTGCACTTTGCACCCTCCCTCCCTTTACTCACGGATCATCCTGCTTCATTTTTCTCGTTCGCCATTCGCTAGCGTCCAGTGCAACTTTGCCGTTGGTGCTTCTACCTGACCAACCATTCTTGACTGACAGCAATTACAGTGTCGAGTAACGATCACAACCACGACAGCAGCGTGGACCAAACAGGCCGGGCCCGGTCAATTTGCCGGGCGGCTTTCACTCATCACTGACCCCCCCCTGCCCAAGCTATCGAACACGAAAGGCGTCGAGGCCAGCGGGTGGCCCGACCAAAAGGGAAACCGTATACGCGGCGTCTCGTCAGACCTCGTGTGCAACAGTGCAACTCCCACAAGTCTACCTACTTCTTAATTCGGACACAATCGGACACAAGGTTTTGGCCTTCCCAGCAGGACGGCCCAGGAAGGGAAAGCGAACTCTAGCACCCTACGGATACACGTACAAAGTGCACAAAGAAGGCTTCGTCCCACCCACATTAAAAACCAACAACCAACGACCACCCCAAGAAACAATCACAAGTAGCTTTGGGTAAAAATAGCTTCGCGGCGCCTCCCTTCCCCAGTTGCGCCCCGTCCCACGCATCATCTCATCCACAGTCCACACCCATTCCATTCCAGTGGTCCACTCCAGCCCGAGGTCGCGATACATCAACCCGCTTTCGGTTCATCCTCCCACCTGCCCGCCGCGCTTGCCCGCCTCGTCCCTCACAGCCGGACCCAGCACAGCCACCTTTGCACCCTTCTTGGGAGTCGAAAAAGGCACAAAGGGAAGCAAAGAGAAGGAGACAACCGGCCCGTTCAGATCTCGCCATTTGGCAACGTGCTCTCACCAGCTGACGGCTAGCTAGGCCCTTCCGAGAGGCCGAGACAGAACAACGCACATCTCACCGTCTACGAGCCTAGTCTGCCGGTCCACGCAATCTTTTTTCTCATACGTCGATCTAAAAAACACATCTTTGCGACTTGTTCTAGCGCCGATCCCGGCATTCTTGGGGTTTCTGAGCCACCCCTTTCGTCCTACAGTACGAATATTTGGGTCCGTTGTCGCCCCCTAATGCTCCCCGCGGTGACGGTCAACTCTGCTGCCCGTCATCTCGTCCTACCTACATTTTTAGAACGAATCTTACCAGCAGTTGACGTCTGATGCTCATAGTAGGTAAGTCAACGAGTCGTGCCTCAAAAAAGTACCACCACGCGGTGTGGCGTGTTGGCCGCATTTGATGAGGCTCCGGGCATGAGCCCCCAAATCCGACTTGACATCCGATCACTTCATCTCCAAATCTTTCAATGCGGCGCCGCATTTCTGGATCCTCACCTCACTCCGCAAAAGTGGATGGGAACAAGGGGTGACCCTTTTCATTTTTCACACTCAAAAGGGGTGGCTCCTGTTTTTCAGGGACCGCGTTGTGGTGCTGGCCGTGGAACCCGGAACCATTCCAATCTTGGATCAACATTGCAGTGCCAACCCCACACTCCGGCGCGACTCGGCCAACATCGTCCCCGCCGTCGGAGCTCGGGTCCTGTGAGAAAGAGGCAGAATGCTACCTTAACCACCGGCCGCGCTGACGACTCCGGTTGCGTCGTCTTCGCAGGGCTGAGCCGATCCGCACGGTCTGGCTTTCGCCATGTTTACAATGGACCTCGACAGATTTTTCTTTCCGTCATCTCGCTGAGTCACCATTGGGGAGTGGTCCAAGTACGTTACATTGGCATGTCGTTGAGGGAAACTTGCGCAATCGTTTACTGCGGTCAAGAGGTCCGTCCGGTCGAGGTTGTGCCTTCTCCGGTGGGGATGCTCCCCCTCTGTTAAAGCTTTTCGGCACCGAGACTTGTCTTATACAGTCTGGAGACATACTTGACTTGGCTGATGGCGATTGATAGCTAGCCGCGTCAGTCCAACCCCGTAGACTCCTGCCCGCTTGCGGCTCAGTCCACACGGGAAGCCATCGTTAGAGTTCCTATCCAGGTGGGTATCGAGCTTGGCGATGCTGGCCAAGTTTACGGTCCGCGGCTTAGCACTACGAACGGCCCACGGGGTTGCGAAACCTAGAGAGGCTTAAGCATGACGTGACAAGCCTTGACCCCAGCGTAGTCCGCTTCATGACTTTTGCAACGATCCGTAGATGAAATATTGAAGTGCTGCCAGAGTCTCATAGGCTCACCTCTCAGGGTGGGCGAGGGGTACCGACCTGCACTGTACCCTCTGCCAACCCGATGACTACGAGACTGGCATGCCACATCGATCGTAGAATTCTCATGCTTTCCCCCTTACAATTTGACTTATACCGATGTTACCCTGAAGCTCAACCAAGACTTCGTTGAAACGCGTCTTCCTTTACATCCAGTCCGTCAATTACCACGTAGCGGAGGCAATGTTCAACACCACCGGCTTGTAGATGGTCTTTTTATTACATAGACCATCAAGTATTCTATAGGTCTCCGTTTGCGGGGGGAAACGAATGGGTGAGGATCCCTGCTTTCTATCACAGAGGCATGACTGAGGAATTTTCTTCAAAATCTGGGTACACGTCAACAGATGTGAATTGCAACAAAGTCTGTTGTATCTCTGTAGGATGTCGACGAGCCAGGAGTGCCCTTTCAATGAGATGAAATATGTCTGGGGTCAGATGATGCCTCTGGGTTTGCAGATGCATCTTAATAAGATTACAATAAGTTTGTTGTCACCTTGGCCAGGGAGGTGTGCTGACGTGGCGATGAGTACGGCGAAAGTGGTAAGAGCGGATGCTCAAGAATAAGTAGGTACTGGATGTTAGCCATATGTACCCTCGTTCACATGTGTTACCCAGGAAGCGTACATTGTATGTCACCTACAGGAAGCCTTTGACGAGTTGATGGTACTTCTGGCTCATCACAGGCGCTATACTACAGTCCACACACTGGAAGCTAAGTTTACTATGATTGTGGTCTTGGCAGGTCTCCTAGGAGTTCTTGTAGTGTGACATCTTATTATTCAAGGAAGTCTATGTTCATAGGAATTAACCCGAAGTATTTAAGCAAATGTATGGATGTTAACTTCGCACTAAGACCTTGTGAAACACTGCCACGAGCTATCATTGTGTTTCTGTCACGATACCTAGTCAAGGATATAAATATAATATGATCATCTGAGAAAAGCTAATCGAGCAGGCAATGAGACCTCTGGCGTCAACTTGGGGCCAGACAGATGAGTCCGCGGAGACAGAATCTTGAAACCGCCAGATCGGTTTGATAATGCCATGACCAAACTCGGACGAACCTCTTTCTGAACGTTTTAGAGGGCTTTTCTAAAAGGAATATGCAGAGGACAGTCAGACTAAGTGGCCGGGGGTAAAATGTAGAGCGTATTGACGTTTGCAAGGGCTATGTTGAGAGACGATAAGAAATCCCCATCTCTGCAACGATGAATCGAGAGCTTCATCGAGCGCCTGAACGAAATGGGCATGGATGATGGCTGACCAGATCACAGAGACTATGATTACACACCCAAGGACAGATAATTGAGAGACAACATACTTGAGCATGTAGCCCAATCTTTCATTCATGTCTCGAATCCTTTCCCTCTCGTCTTCCAACTCTCTTCGGAGTACGCCTGGAAACACTTCTCGCACTCGCCACAGTTACCGCACCCTTTGAGCTGCCACTCACCTCCAAACACATTGAACTCTCGCGCGCCAGAATCATCGATTGAGGAGTCCAAGGGCAAAGACTTCAGCGCGGCCGCATATTCCGGGCCAGCAGGGAACCCGATATCCTTGTCGTCGTGAAACCTCTTCCTGGGCCCGCTAGCCGTACAGTTCACGTCGACTCCGCGCTTCTCACCAACGGCTATGAGGCGCTGGAAGTAATGGTTGTTGGGCGGCTTATGCTTGGAGCAACGCGCCCGGTCGCACCGGTCTCGTCGGACCACGTTGTCCTCGATGAAAAGTGCCTTTAAATCTGAGAACCTATCCGACTGGAGAAGACTGATGAGGAGATTCTCTGTCTTTTC